TTTTCCTTCCTCTACTCCCTCTAGGAATCCTCCTCCCAGACACAAAACTGGTCCTAAGATGCCCTCTATTTCCTACTTGAAAAGTCTGAAAAACACCACCAAGAGAGACTCAAGCCACCTTCCTTGCAAAACCCCCCAAGTTCCTGGAAGGCCAGCTGACTTTCTAGGCGCCTGGAAATAGGAAAAGAGAATAGTGGGCCAGGAAGTAAATAAACCACAAAAGGCTGCACCATTCCAGGCTGCACCTGTGAGCATCCCTCGGCTAAAGCCCTGTCAGCGTTTCCATGACAAACTCATATTTCTGGATGCCTCTCTTCTAGCTTCAAGAGCATGCCTTGTGGTAAGACTTGACACTGAAAATGCTTTCATAATTTTTTCCCCTAAAAAGGTTGCATGCTCTAAAAATCCACCTGCTCGTTATATATGTTAGCTTTCCATTCTGAGAGGTTTTTTTTGGATATTGTATTTATACAGTATGCATGCAAGCATACGATATACATGTGGGAGTTCTGTGGTGGAGAGCTGTAATGGCAAGTACGACCACCACACAGCATGATACGACCTCTGCCCTCCCTAAAACAGCTCCCACATTCCTTTGCCTGTCCCAGAGCTTGAAATTGTACCATTAGAGATTTACTATTTTTGAGTTTGAATGATTATCGGTTCCTAAGAGTCTCCTATGACAATGCATCACCCTCTGAAAGGGACTAAGCTACCATCTGATAAAGCATTAGGAAAAGAGCCATGAGTCATCAAGAAGGATGGCCGAAGGGTAGAAGAGCCCTAAAAGAGTAAATGAGTGGCATCCAAGATGGATTACCTGTTTTACAGGTTTGTTAGGCCTGCCTGTGGGAGGACACATGCCTGCACACAGTGCTCTTTATATAGAACAGTTGTTCCCCAAACCTAAATGGTGTTCAGATTCATCTGGGATGCTTCCAAAAATGCAAATATCCAGGCCCTGCCCCCAGACATACTCATAATCAGAGTTTCCAGGGCTGGAGTCAAGCCCAAGACTGCATTGAAGCGAAGCATTCAGGTGATGCTGATGATCAGACAGGCTTAGAAACCATTGATATAGAGGATAGAGTACCAGGAGAAGAACTGGAACACCTGAACTTGGGTTGCAGTATCACCATTTTTTGAGGGTCCCTGGGCACAGCGCTCTCTGAACATGGGGGAAATGTGAAACCTAGCTGCCATGGCCTGTATGAGGCAGTGTTACAGAAATGCCTGTTGAAAACCATCAGACAGTGCAAATGTTAATTGTAATCCCACACACACACAGGGCATGTGGCATACATGGGTACACGTGTTCATGTGCATCCAGGTACGTGAATTTCCTACCAAGAGGGCAGGTCTGATCTTCATTCTCCTTCACCTAAGCTTGTGGCCGTCTTCACTTCTTGATGGACTTTCTCACTTCCAGACATGCTCCCTGCTCTCCTCTTCCAACAGCTTGGCACAGCCCCCAATAACTCAAAAAAGGTTTTTCTATCTAATGGTTTTATCTACCATCTATAATCTCTCAGATGTTCATCCCTTCCAGGGAGTAAGAAGGAAGAGGAGTAGTTGCTCCTGTTTTATAACAAGGAGAAACTCAGGCAGGTGGTTTTAGATGACTTTATACCATTTAAATGAAAATATACAAACACAAAATTCTTCAAGTGTCAGGGTTTCATGGATTTCCTGACACCTTCCCATGGCCCCCCTTGGAGTCCAGGAACCCAGGCAAAAAACACCTGCCCCACCTGGCTCTGGCAGCCCACACCCTCTGAGCTCGCAGAAGGTCCCATTCAAGCACGGGAGACATTCTTTCATCTGTGCCTTTGCTGACTGACTGACTTGTCCCTCCCTCCCCACAAGCTTGGAGATGAACTTGCCTGACCTTCCCTCCTCCTCAAGAAAAAGAGTTAAAATCCAGCGATGCAGTGACATATCACCTATGTCAAGACAGGATCTTCTCAGACCAGACTCTGCCTTCCTGTTCCGGAACCTGCAGCACAGAGCGTCTGAGCTGCAATAAGATGTCAGGAGGATGGATGATCATTTTTGCAATAATGGAAAACACAACTCAGACTGGCTTAAACAATAAAAGGAATCTATTGCTCTGTGACAATAAAAAAAAGTTTGAAGAAGGGTAGGCTTCCTGCAAGGTCCAATCCGTCTGTTCTGTGCTGTTTCTTTTTGTCTCTCCACCCTTCTCCATGATGTCAACTTCGTCTTAAGACTCTCAGCCTTCAAGGTTACAACTTGGTCCCCTGCAGCAGGAGAGAGAATGCAAACTACTTTTTTGATAGTTCCTGTGAAAGAAAGTGGAAGCCTCCTTCCAGAACCGGTCAGTCACCGTCTCCCCACATTTCATTAGCCCACATTGGGAAACATGCCATCCCAATAAAGGCCTCTGACACTGGAGTGCGCACGGCTGGGAAATTCAGAACATAGTAAAGATGGCATGCCTCGATGCTCGGACTCCCAAGTCCTGTCCTTGGGCTTAAACCCCCCACCCCTGTGCAATTCAAACTACTTCCAGGAAAAGAATTAAAGACTCAAAAGAAATGATTTTGTAAATACCCAGGCTCTGGTATTGTCCCACACAGGCCCTTGGCAAAATCCTGAGCCTTCTCAGAAAGGAAAGGAGAAATGGATTTTCACTTTCTAGAAAGGGAAGGAAACAGAATCTGCAGTCAGTCAGCTGAGTGGAATGCAGGCCACGTAGGGAGTTGGAGGCGTGGGGGATTATGCCTCCTTTTTCCCTTAGGCAGCCCTTTGGGTTGCCATGATCAATTTGTTTACCCTCTCTGGCCTCTGTACAAAAAGAGTAAAATGATTATCCCTTCCACTTCACAGCGATCCTCTGTGAGGTACCACAGCTTGGGAGGAAGCTGAGTCTAAGATTCTGGGCTTGTGTTCTACTGTGCAGAAGACAGAGAGCGTGGTGCGTAGAGTGGTTTCTGGCCAGTCCTCAGTTGTCAAAACCATCAGAGGTCTTCTAGTGTAACTCCAATGAAAGTATGGGTCCTATGGGGCCTTGGCTCACTTGAAGGTCATATAATTCAGAAACATGGTTAGGCAACTGAAAGTCATTTTAAAAGAAATTCCAATTATTTAGATCTTTTGAAGAGATAAAAACACTTGGCAATGTTTTTCTAAAGCCTTCTCTTCTCATCCCTAATTCTCACATCCATAGCTACTCAAGGTCCTTTTATAAGTCAAAAGCTTCCATACTCTCTCCAGCACCCAAATATCTCCCCTCTTTCTGAGCTTTATTATGGAGGGTGGTTTAGCCTCTTGCATCCAGTCCTTTTTTCCTCCAGTCTCTCTTTCCACTAATTCTACCAATTCTACGACCCAAAAGATGTGGACATCACAGTTATCAAGCCAAAACTCTCCTAAGAATACTCGCACTTCAATAAATCTTGTCCCTGCCACATAAGTGTCATTGGGGAAGACTTTCAGTCTCATATACATATAGTTTACTCTAATACTATGTATTAGTCAGGGTTCTCCAGAGAAAGAGAACTAATAGGATATATAGAAATATATATAAGATATTTATTATAGGAATTGACTCACAATTATGGAAGCCAAGAGGTCCTATGATCTGCCATCTGTAAGCTGGCAAACCAGAAAAGCTGGTGCTGTACTTCAGTTCAAGTCCAGAAGCCTGAGAACCCAGGGAGCCACTGGCATAAGTCGTGAAGTCCAAAGGCTTGACAACCAGGAGTTCTTATGGCCACAGGCAGGAGAAGATGGACGTCCCAGCTCAAAAAGAGAGAGGGAGAATTCACCCTTCCTCCACATTTTTGCTCTATTCAGGCATCCAACAGGTTGGATGATTGATGCCACTCGCACTGGGTAGGGCCATCTTCTTTACTCAGTCTGCTGCTTCAAATGTTAATCTCTTCCAGAAACATCCTCACAAACAAACCAGAAATAATATCTTACCAGCTATGTGAACATTCCTTAGCCCAGTAGACACATAAATTTATTATTTATTTATTTTTTTAAATTGAAGAAATGATTTAAATTATTTCCCCCCTCGTGTGAGCCTCCGTCTACCTTCCCCCTCTCCCCTCTTACCCTCTGGTAACCACTAGTCCATTGACTATGTCCGTGAGTCTCTGTTTGTCCTGTTCATTTGCTGCTTTTAGGTTTATATCCCACGTATAAGTGATATCATGTGACTTTCCACTTTTTATGTCTGGCTTATTTCACTTAGTATGATTATTTCAAGGTTCATCCATGTTGTTGCAAATGGCAGTATTTCATCTCTTCATATGGCTGAATAATATTCCATTGTATAGAGGTACCACAGCTTCTTTAGCCAATCATCTATCGTAGGACACTTCCGTTGCTTCCATGTCCTGGTCACTGTGAGTAACGCTGCTGTGAACATCGGTGTGCAAATATCTTTTTGGATATAGGTTTTCAAGTCTTTGGAGTAAATACCCAGTAGAGGGATTGCTGGATCATATGGTAGATCATTTCTTAGGTTTTTGAGGAATCTCTATACTGTTTTTTATTCTTGAGATAGGACTGTATTGCTATGCA